GTGTGTGTGTGTGTGTGTGTGTGTGTGTGTGTGTGTGTGTGTGTGTGTGTGTGTGTGTGTGTGTGTGTGTGTATGTGTGTGTGTGACGACATCCGCAGAGCGTCCCGTTGGGCAATCATGCGTGTACGCGAGTCACGCGATCACTGTGAGAGTGGATGTCCGGATTCGTAGCCTGGAGGCTAGGCGACCGGTTCCGGACGCGTAGCCACTGCGTATAATTTATATGCTCTGTTTGAAGTTTGGTATGTAGTTGGCTGGTTCGGAAAGTGTAGTGAATAGATTGCAAGTTCTAGGATATGAATTGATTCGAAGTTTCCTGAATAGTTTTGCACACGGACCGGAAACAACAGAGTGGGCGGTAAATTGTAAACGTTAAGCCTATAGTCTACACTAACAAACTTTTAGTTTGCAAACTCGAGCAAACTCCGAGTTTGGCAAGAAAGGTTTTCCAAAGTTTGCCAGTGTAGAGCAGTTGACAAACTTCGGCAAACTAGTTTGCAGAAGTTAGGCCGTGCACCTTCTTGACAAACTAGTTTGCTGAGGTTTGTAACAACTCAGCCAATCAAATGACAGTTTGTAGTCATGTGATCCTGCAGCTGGACAAAATGTCAGCCTCCAGTAAAGTAAAGAAATCAGACAGGGACTGCATGGAGTTTCCAAGAAATTTAATTCAAGAGTATGAAAAGTATCCATGTCTTTACAATACCACCCTCAAAGAATACAAAGGGATAGAAAGAAGGCCGCATTGTAGCAGATTGCAGCTGTGTTTGATACAACCGGGAGAGGCTGACTGAGGCCCTCAATTCTTGAAGCAGGCAATGATGGCCCCAAACTGGTTCCTTTTCATAATCCAGGGTCTGGTTCATAAACGTGGCTTGTTTTGGTTTTGTCGACGACGGCGGCGTTGAATAGCAATTGCAATAATTGCTGCTGAGCCACTCACACATACTCTCTTTCTGATATTCTCCATTGTTCTTGACTTATTGGAGAGAAATCGCTTCTTTTTCCCTCCAATTTATGTAAACTTTCAGAAACTTCACAAAATAAAAGTTTTGCATACAAAAGTTTGGTGAAGTTTGCTAGTGTAGACTAGGCTTAGTAATTAGTGATTTCAGAGGTCTTGAATAGATTGGAAGTTAATTGTGTGTGCCTGTGTGTGTGTGTGTGTGTGTGTGTGTGTGTGTGTGTGTGCATGTGTTAAACGTGTGCAGCAAGCTAGAAGTGAAAAGGAAAGACGTGCGGCAGAGAAAGAGGGGGAGAGCGAGATCGAGAGAAAGAGAGAGAAAGAGAGAGAGGGGGGGGGAAGCGAGGGAGTAAGAGAGAGGGAGATGGTGTGAGCGAGATAGAAAGAGGTGGAGAGTGAAAAAGACCAAAGATAAGTATAAATAGGTGCATGGTTGGATGGATGAGTAGGAAGAAAGAGCTAGGGTGTGTTTGTATTTTACATGTTTAACACACCCTCACTTACCCTTTATTTTAACTGTTTAATTACTACATAATAAATAAAACTGATGAAACAATTAAGCAAACTTTGCTTACGTACCAAATTGTGTTAGTACACATGCAATTACATGTCTGCGTATCACGTTGGCCAGAGCAGCCCAGTACAGGCCCAACGGTTGGGTTAACTTTGGCTGCCCAATGCTGGACCCATGTTGGCGCACGGCGCAAAAACCAGTGTACGTATATGCCATTCGCAGATCTTGTGAGCATAGCGTATTACAGAGGTAGAGCACATCTTTAAATTGGACGAATCTTACACAAATATATACACATGCATATACACATGCACATATTATACAAAATCTTTCGCTGGTACACTCTCGCTAGCTGGTAACACATATAGTAGTGAGCTCGAGATATATAGAAAGTAACGTAGCGGTGATCTTGGGAAGTTACTTACGTTTTAGCGGTCGGTCTGTCGGTCAGTGAAATGTCTTTCTTCTGTATCCCCGCCCGCCTTGTCCTCCTTCCTTCTTTTCTCTATATCGCTCTCTCTCTCTCTCTCTCTCTCTCTCTCTCCTCATCGTCTCTCTCTTGCTCGCTCTCTCTCTCTCTCGCTCTCTATATCTTTCGTTATCTCGATTTCTCTTGCGATATTACTCTCTATCTATCTATCTCCCACAAACACACAGACACAGACACGCAATGCTCCTCTCGCCTCCTCTTGCTCTCCCCCTCTCTCTCTCCTCTCTGCTCTCCTCATCCGTGCCTGTCGTCTAGTTCCGTCGGTGTTTCCGTCTCTGGTCTTCTTCTCCAGCGTCGGAGTTCTGCGCTCTCATCTCCTCGCTGCCTCGCGTCTTCTCTCCTCTGTGGTAATGTGTGGTTGTCATGTTTCCGCGTCTTCTCTCTCCATCTCCTCGTCTCCTATCTCTCTGCTCCTCTCTCTCTCTGTGTAAACTGTCTTTTGTAGGCAATCGTGTGCGCGATTAGGTGCAAGTCTTGGATTCAAGTGCCCGCAATGGGGCAGCCTGCGTATGTATAGCTTTGTAATGAAGCGTTTTTAGGCACGCGCCATCATCGCACTCCTATCGCTAGTCGAATCACAATATCCCCGTCAATTATACGCCGATATAAGACTGACATGCCCGTGCCAACAGCTATACTTCTCCGGCAATTTCTCGGCCCAATATGCGCTCGTAGAAACGGACAAATTGCCGCAGGTGCGCCTCGTAACTCGTACAAGCCAGGGCGCAGTTGTTGTCGTCATGGTTCGTCACTCGCATCGTGAGAAGGCCTCTGTCCTCGAGGTCGCTGAAAGTTTATTGATCTATTAGTAATGAGTGGCCGCTGGGAAACAATAATAATCATGACAAGATCAGCCAGTGCCAATTATCGTGAGCGTGCCAAGGCCACTCCGATTCTCGGTTTCTCACCCCCTTCCCCGCCTCTCTAATGCTCTCTACGATCTCTTCCCTCTGCTCTCTCACTCTCTTCTGTGTCTCATCTCTCTCTTCTCGACCTGCTTTGTCCCGTTCTATTCTCTCTCTCCGTCGCNTCTTTCTCTTTCTCTTTCTCTCTCTCGCTCTCTCTGTCTTTCTCGCTTTCTCGCCATCGGCCACTCCCTCTCGCTCTCTCATTCGTCCTCTCACTCTCACAGCTAGTCACTCTCTCTTTCTCTCTCGGTATCTCTCTCATATATCAGTTCAACGTATATAAAAAAAATCTTTAAAAATGACTTTACGGAAAGCGAAACTATTTTTATTGCAACATTTTCATAATCATATCCTTACCAAAAATAGTACACATACGATAGGACAATTGCATCTCCCTAACTATACTATACACGCGTGTACATGGAAGGCAATATGGGGAGCGTGGAATATGCAGTCAGATGCGCCAGACACCACCACCCTCGTAAGAAACGTTCTCGCGTGACCGCATTCGTTCACAGGAAGCCGCTAGACATTGTCACGTACGCCAAAAAGCGAAATTTGAAATTCTCTCTACACGCACCTATACCAGTCGCCGATCACATGACACTGACACACGCTATATATATATATATATATATATATATATATATATATATATAT